GCCGGCTTTGCTGCGCTGCTGCAGGGGCTCGTGGCTTCGCAGCAGCTGGCCTGCAATGTCTTCGGCTTTGTGGGCATGTTCGTCACTGTAGTAGATGCCATTGTTATTATTTTCATCAACTCTTTGTTCGCCTGGCTCCTTCCCAGGGGGCCCCTCCTCGCAACAGCAGCAGTTGCCTTCATTTTCCTTCTCCACGGCCTTCTTGAGGCCCTCTTGGGACCCCTGCTCGTCCTCGCCCCAGACGAGGAGGAGCCGGGGGGCCCCCTGGGGCCCCTGGGGGGCCCCCTGGGGGGGCCCCTGGGGGGGCCCCCACCCACTCACATCGAACGCAGCCACAACAACCCCGCACGCGCAGCAAGGGAAACAGATGGACTCACTCCGCATCAGAGGGAGGCACTGCTGCACAGAGAGGTCTCCCTGCCCTCCACTGCCTGCCCCAGCAACTAGCAGCAGCAGCAGCAGCAGCCGCTGCTGCTGCGGCTGCAGAGCTGCTGCGCTGCTGCTCGGCGCCGGCGGCCCAGAGAGAGGGGAGCACCCGAAGGGTCGTCACTCATCTCCTGTGGGACCTTAAAGTGGCTGATGATTGACGGAAAAGAGAGCAAAGGCGTAGCTTTCAGGGTTTAGGGTTTAGGGTTTAGCGTCCAGGGTTTAGGGCTCGGCTTTGCTGCTCTACTGTCGGGCCGAATCTACGCAGAGGATTCTGTTGCAGCTGCTGCGGCGCTCCTCCGGCGGCTGTCAAGCATTTAGAGCTAAAACGCTTTGAATCCTAGGTTTTAGGGTTTAGGGTTTAGGGTCTGGCGTTGAGTCTGGATGGTGTAGGGTGTGCTCTAGATGTTTTGGCGCCGCAGGACAGGGATGCAGGGAGGCGCGTAGAGCCGGGAGACTAGGGTTTAGGGTTTGGGGTTTAGGGTTTTCTTTAGCATGGCGGGCTAGAGTTGCTTCTCCTGGCTACAGTTGCAGGTTTGGCTGCAACTGTAGCACTCTTCACTGCTGCTGACTCTGTTGGTGCTGTCACTTCTCCACTGTATGCTGCTGCAGCTAGCACTGCAGCCATTGTTGCTCCAACTTGTGCTGCTGCAGCTTTAGCTTGCGCTGTTGTAGCTGTAGCATATACTGGTGCAGGTGGGACAGCTGTGAATCTCCCGTGCTGCCTCATATAATTTGGCTGCGTCCACTAGTTTCGCGGTTTTATTTAATAGTTTTGCGTCTTCCATCACGATTGTACTTGGAAACGTCAAGTTGGTTGACAAATTCAATGAAATGGGGGGCGTCGTTGTGGCGGGTTCGCAGCAGCACTGCGCAGACCAGTGGACCACTGAGCCAGCCCCGTCACCCTGGAGGTCACCTGCTGTATCTTCTTCCCTTTTTGCTTTTTTCTGCCTTCTGAGCAAAATATATTTGTTGTTTTGTCATATTGTGATACATTTGTACTTGCTGGAGGTTTTTTTCCCCGTTTCCACTGACAAGCACCACCGCCTGTTGCCGGCGGTGCTGAAGGCCAGTTACTGCTGCCGCGACGGACGCTGCAACTTCGGCGTTTCTCTCCTCTATTTTTCAGTTTTTTCATTCTATAATTTGACTTTCTGGTCTTCTTTTGCTTCTCAAACCCCTCCTCGCCTGCACCTGCATGCGATACCGCAAAGGCAGAGCCGCCGACAGGGGTCCCGTGGTCAACTGGGGGTCCCCGTGGGGTCCAGGTGACCTCACCGAAGCCCCAGAAGCCCTTTTACCTTCTTCGTGTCTCTAGAAACAACTGAAACATGTCGAGTTCTCCAGAAATTCCCCTTCAAGTGGGGTCACTGGAGGCGCCAAGATGGGTCGGGGGCCCCTGCAGAAGTTCCCCCCGGGAACCCCCATCGTCTTCTCCCTTCGACACAGCCCGGTGGTCAGCCCAGTGGTCTCTAGCAAAAAGTAAAAGACAGCGCCTGCGGGGCCAGGGAGAAGAACAGGGGCCCCTCTGGGGGCCCCCAGGGGGGTTTGGAGAGGGGCCCTCAGACGAGGCACAAGACATAAGAGAGCCAATGACGGAAGATACGGAAGCAAAACATGGGCTAGGAGAAGAAGCATGCCCTGGGGCTGCTGCAGACAGTGAGGCAGAGAAGGAGTCCGGCCAGCAGCAGCAGCAGCAGCAGCAGCAGCAGCAGCAGCCGACACTGCTGAGTACCGCGGTGGCATTTCATCCAGGGCAGAAACACCACAGAGGCACTCAACTTCAATTCACGAGCCTCAGCAGCAGCAGCCGCAGCAACAATAATAGCAGCAAAAACAGCAGCAGACGCAGAATGAGTTACGCCAGCGGCAACAGCGGAACATGCGAGAGCAGCAGCAACTGCAGTAATAGTAGCAGCAGCAGCAGCAGCAACTGCAGCAGCACCAGCAGCAGCATCAGTGTCAGCAGCTCCAACAGCAGCAGGACGACAGGAGGCAACAGGAGCATCAGCCGCAGCAGCTGCTGCGGCTCACAGGCTAGTCCCTGCAGCAGAAGCAGCTACAGCAGCAGCACCACCAACTGCAAAGCATCCTATCCATTACACAAGAAGAAGAAGCCGCAGCTGCAGCAGCTGGTGCTAGTGCAGCACAGGCAGCAGAAGGCTTTGTACCTGATCCAGAAAAAGCATGCCACACTACAGCAACAGCAGCACGAAGAGCACCAGCAGCAGCAGCAGCAGGAGAGAAATAAGAATCAGCTGCAGCGACCAAGGCAGCAACAGCAACTAGAGCCGCAGCAACAGCTAGAGCAGCAGCCGCTGCAGCAAACCCGCAGCAGCAACCAAAATGGGAAAGGAACTGAAGCCCTCAGTCCTCACTCTGCTGTTGTGGGGCCTCTCCCTAATAGGGGGCCCCCAGAGGGCCCCCCACCTTTGAGTTGCAGTCAGAGCTCTGCTGCTGCCTTCTCAGCTATTTTTCACTTGGGCAGGTGCAGCATTATTCCTAGCACAAGCAGTGTCAGCAGCAGCAGCAGCAGCAACAGCAGCAGCAGCAGCAGCAGCAACAGCAGCAGCAGCAGCAGCAGCAACAGCAGCAGCAGCAGCAGCAACAGCAGCAGCAGCAGCAGCAGCACAGAAGTGCTGAATGTGGCCTCATACTCCCTGCGCGTCCCAACACATGAGTGTAGGGGAGGCGGTCCTGGGGGCCCCCGCAGGGTCACAACTGCCATTGAGAATGAGGGGCCCCTTAATTCTATGCAAAAGCCTGCGGTGCAGAAGCAGCAGCAACTGCAGCAGCAGCAACAGCAGCAGCAGCAGGCGAAGCGGCACCGAGTGCTGCAGCAGTTGCACGAGCCTCACCAGGATCAGCAACACGAGCAGCAGCATCCACACAGTTTTGCATCTTCACCGCGAGAGGCCTCACCGCGCCAGGAGGGCCCTTGGGGTCCCCTTAGGGGCCCCCCAAGGGGCCCCCAAGGAGGCCCCCTGGAGGCTTCGCCGGAGGGTTCAGCGCCACATGCGGCTGCAGCAGAAGAAAAAAGCTCTATGGAAAAAGACAAAGAGGGTTTGAGCCCTCACCCTGCAGCAAAGTCTCCTCCCTTAAAGGCCTTTGACTCTTTTGTTGCTGCATTGAGGGGCCCCCAAGCAGCAGCTGAGGGGCCTCCAGCTGCTGCGAGTTCCCAGGGGCCCCCCCAAAGGGCCCCGCCGTTAGCAAATGGGTGGGAACGTTTGCTGGAGCAAGAGGGCCAGAGGGAACCCCCAACTGCGGGGCCTCCGGAGGGTCCCCCCGAGGGGGCCCCCGAGGGGCCCCCTCCAGTTGCCGTTGTGCGCTGTGCCGTTTGCTGCAGGGGCCCCACATTTGCTGCTGCTGCAGTCTGCTCGGGGGTTCCCGGGGCCCTACAGATCTATCAGAGGCCCCTGGCCTCACCTGGAGCAATGCCCGTAGCTTTTGTTGAAGCATTTCTAACCCTCAAGGTGTTGTCGGGCTCCGCCAAAACCCTTAACCCTAAGTCCAAAACCCTAAACCCTAAACCCCCATTAACAGTCTTCGGTTGCTCCATTTAGCAGCCGCAGAAGATTGTAAGACGGGGACGTGCTGTGGAAAGGATCTAAGTCCATTTTTAACTCCGAGGGTTTAGCGCGGAGAGATCAGGGCTAGGGTTTAGGGTTTAGGGTTTAAGGGCTGAGGTGTACGTGCAGCGCCAGATGAATGCCAGCCTCTTTTCCGAGGGTTTTGCGGGGGTAACTTGGACTCTAGTCTTACCGACAAAAGTCCCTTATGCGGAGAGAAAGTAACTTCGCCTCAAACCCTAAGTCCTAGTTCTAAACCCTAAGACCGAAGCCCTGAACCCTAAACCCTAAACCTTCAGCCCTATAACTGCAGCTGGGCCCCCTTGGCGCTGCTCTTAACTGCGCATCTTAAATCCTCTCAAACCTTTTTAGCCGCTCTTGCAGCATTTTCTGCAGACTGTTACTGGAGGCCATAGCAGCGGAGGAACAGGGGCCCCTGGGGGCCCCTCAAGACGGGGGCCCTCCAGGTGCTGTTGCTTTGAGGTACTTGCCCAAAAGAGAGTTCACTTCTTCTAGAGGTCAGACATGACGAGATTTTAGCGTGTGGGGCCTAGGTTTTAGGGTTTAGAGCATAGGCTTTAGGGTTTAGGGTTTAGGGTTTAGGAATTGGGGAATAAGGCTTAGGGCTTCGCGTTTAGTTCTTGAGGCTCAGGAATAGATCAGGCCTGCTTAAACACGCCGGACTACCAGGATTCAACGGCTGCAATTTAGGTTTATGTTTAGGGTTTAGGGTTTGTGGCTTGGGTTTAGGCTAGGGTTTGGGGTTTATACGACCAGAGATTAGGGTTTGTTTTCTCAGGGGCTCACTGGCTGCGAATCACTATTCCTGGCCTTCGATCCAGCAGCAACGGAGATAGCAGCCACTCTGTGAGAAGTCTTCTGAGCCCTAAACCCTAAACCCCAAACCCCAAACCCTCGCTCGGCCTGGCGCTGACTGCAAATTTTTATCAGCATTTGTCTCTGCAGGTAGAAGGCCTCTCTCAGGAAGCCTTAAGGTGGGCGGCTTCTGACGTTAGAGTTTATTGTCTAGCTCCGAGGGTCTAGAGCTCAGGAACTAGGGTTTACGGCCCAGCAACAAGGGTTCAGTGCCCGCAGCTAGGAATTAGCATTTAGAAATTAGGGTTTAGCGCCCTGCAGCTAGGGTTTGGCAGCCGCCCACGTTTTGCAGCCGCCCACGTGCCTTCGCAAAGAGTGTTTGGCGGCAGCATGCTGTGTCTGTTGCTTGCAGCGCCGCTGGGGCCTTGCTGCTTCATCTCAATGTAACTCATAAACCCTAAACCCTAAACCCTTGGCCCTAAACCCCCGGAGCGCCAACTCATCCCTGTGCCTCTCGAGCTGTGTGAACAGAGAGACGCACCCGAAGTCCGAGATGGCATTTACGAGGTTTCGGAGGCCCTGCTGGGGGCAGTACGTAAGGGTTTAGGGTTTGGGGCTGAGGGTTTATGGTTTAGCGACTGTAACATTCCCCCCAGGGAAGAAGACTCAGCTGGGTTTTACAGTCTGCTGCACTGTACGCTGCAGCAGCTGAGCGTCGATGAAATTACCCTGCGGGGGCTTGGAATCTGGGGGTAAGCGCTGGGGCCCCTGAAGCTCTTTTGGGAGGCCGTGAAGGGGCCCCTTGGCAAGGGGGCCCAAGTGGGGCCCCCTGGTTTCCGGGGCCAAGTGGGGCCTCCTGGCTCCCGGGGCCCCCCTCAGGTTTTCGGGACCCCTAGATGGGCCTCAGGGCCTCTTCGGGGCTTTGAAAACAGCAACTAGATCTCTTATCCCTAAACCCTTGGCTTCAAGCCCTAGGCCCTAGGCTGAAAATCCTAGAGGCCTTGCGCTGCAGAGCTGCTCGCGGCTCTCTGAAAGTGCTGTGTTTTAAAAACATAGGGTTTAGGGTTTAGTTGCTGCTGCTGCGTCGTAGGCCTCCCGCTGTTTCTCAGAAACATCAGCGTCCTGGCTCAGGTAGCTGGCTCAAACCCCAAAATCCTAAACCCTATATTCTAAACCCTATGGGTTGCTGGTTGCGCAGAGCTTTGCCTGTGGCAGTGAAGGTTTACCGCCAACGTATCCTGGATCGTGGGTTGAGCGTTTAAGGTTTAGGGTTTGGGGTTTGGAGTCCAGGGTCTTGTGGATAGGGTTAAATATTCACGGTTCAAGTCCGGCCTTGTTTTGCTGCTGCCCGCCTTCAGACAAACTCGGGGCCCCGAAGTGGCTCGCGGACGAATGGTGCTCCTTAACAAGTGAGGGACCCTAATGCAGTTTAGGTGTTGTGGTTTAGGGTTTAGGCTTTTGCTGTTCGATCTAGGGTTTAGTGGATATGGATTAGGGTTTGGTTTTTGAGTGGGATTGGTGTGATGCAGGAACGACGATGGGCCGCCGCACGCTCCTCTCTTGGATTCTCTCGGTCCTGCTGCTGCTGCTGCTGTTTCTGCTGCTGCAGTTGCTGCTGCAGCTGCTGCTGCCGTTGCTATTGTGCCTGCTCCTGTGGCCACTCGTTCCTTCAGCGTGTTTCTTCTGTGGACCCAGGTGTTAGGGTTTAGGGTTTAGGGTTAGGGCTTCTTGTTTTGTCAGTGTGGCTTTTCTCTCTTTCCTTCTCAGCCAACAACTGACCGGCGGATTCTGCAGGCAATGACCGAAGCACTAAACCCTAAGTCTTTAACCCTAGGCCCTAAATGCCAAAGCCTTATCATTGCACCAATTGTTCCTGCCTCACCCGTTAAACCCTAAACCCTAAACCCTCAATTTTAAGTGTTGCCGCTTCTACGCAGGCGCGGCAAATGGCTGTGACACTCTGTCTAGCCCATCTTCCTGCCCTCACTAGCGGTGCGCCAAGGAGATTTAGGGTTTAGGTTTAAGGGTTTAGGGTCTACACTGCACTGTTATTTTTGTTGATGCCTCTGACGAGATGATGCGCGTCAGGGGTTCAGGATTTGTTGCTGGGGTTTAGGCTTTCGCGTTTAGGGTTTAGGGTCTGCGGTTTAGGGTTTAGGGTTTACGCCTTATGCATCTCTGCAGATAATTTTACCCGCGCTCTGAGGGCCGCGAAGGTAAATGAGACGCTGGCCCATAAGCTAAGCCTTGGGTCACCAGCGCACCGCCGCCGCAGCTAACACTCGCGCAAACTGTAAACCCCAAACCTTAAACACTAAACACTAAGCTAACACAGCTAGTACTCGCTCAAACTGTAAACTCCAAACCCTAAGCACTAAACATTAAAACCCTAAACCCTTTCTTTGGTGTAACTGCCAGGAAACTTGGCGCGTCACTTACTCTATTAGACAAAGCGCCACACTCGCCTGGACGCATGCCAAGCATATACTTAGTTTCTGTAAGGCCTAAACCGTAAACCCTAAATCCTAAACCCTAAACCCTAAACGCCTAAGTACAGCATCCCGTTCTACATTTTAATCGCCAAACTCTAACTTCATAGCTCTTCACGAAAACAGCTCATTTCACCGGGAGTCTCGACTGGGTGTTTAGGGTTTAGGGTAAAGGGTTTAGGTTTTAGGGCTTGGAGTTAGAGTTTTCGGCGTAGGTACTGCAACTGAAAACCTTTGTTTGCTTTTAAAGAAATGCCCGAAACTTTCTGAGATCGCGGCAGTCAGTTGTATCTTCCAGTGTCAAGATTGTATCAGCCAAGGTAAACCCAAACCCTAAACTCCCAAGCTTAAACCCTGCCTCGAAAATCTAACAGCTGTACCCCCTGCCCGAGATTAGCGAGACCGCGTCACCTCAGCGCCAAAGCTGCAAGCCCAAAGAGCCATCAAACCCCAAACCCTAAGCCGTACGGTGAACTGTCTTTTTGATTCGCGAAGTCTAGGGTTTCGGTCTTCGTGCTCAAGGCCAAGGGTTCAGGATTTAGGGTTTCGAGCTTGCGCTGTGCGCGCAGTTCGACATGTGCTGGAGAGCCGCCTGGATCTCTCCAAATGCAATCAGTGTTCCGAGTCCGTGGCTTGCGTTTCGGCCGAAGGTCTAGGGTTTAGGGTTTAGGGTTTAGCGATTTTAGGGTTTAGGGTTTAGCTATTTATGCTTTGGGGTTTAGGGCGTAGGGTTTTACGCTGAGGGGCTGGCAGGCGGTGCATGTTTCGTGACAGGCTGACTCTCTTGCCCACAGCAGAAGAAGACGAATTAAAGGTATGCGGGCAGCGAAGTTTCAGACCCTAAGTTACAAAACTCTAGACCCTAAATCCTCATCTCTTAACCCTTAAGTGTAGCCTTTGGTTGCCTGGTCCCCTACATGAGATACAACAGGACATCTGCAGCACTCAAGCGCTACAGTTTAACGTCTAGGGATCAGGATTCAGGGTTTGGGACATAAGGCGTAGGGTTTAGGGTTTACGGGATGCCTGGAGGTTACAGGAGATGAGTGACTTTGTGGGGAGCACTGAGTTTCTCCAAGCGGCTCACCAACACTTCTTAGAGGCAAGACAAACCCCAAAACCAAAGCACTAGCCCCAATGTCTCCTCCGTTGCACGCAGGATTGGTGGATTTCGAGGGTTTAGGGTTTCAGGTTTAGGGTTTATAGCGTTTCTACGCCTGTTGCGATTGCAGGAGTTGGACACAAAGGATATGAATTACGCGATTCCTCCCGGTTCATCCTTCATTGCATCGTACTACGCAGGCAAGGCCCTTCAGCCTTAAGAGCTTAGGATTTAGGGTTTAGAGTCTGGGGTTTAGGGTTTCGGGCTCAAATTGTGTGTCCCGGTCGCCGCACCCCAGGCCTACTGTTGTACATACACCGCAGCGTGCCTCAAGCAAACAACAAAGTGCCACCCTCGGACGCATTTCACTTTGCCTTCTTTGATGACGGCTATGTGAGAACTCTCGAAGCATTAACCCTATTGCTTCCTAAACCCTAAACCCTAAACCCTAAACGTTGAGCCCGAGACCCTAAGCTCCAAAGCTTGAATTCACAGCGAAACGCTGACTCCCGCTGCGGTCCTCAGGCTGCCTTCCAGAATTCGCGAGACAAATTCTTTAATTGGAGTGGTACCTATAGGGTTTAGGGCGAAAGGTTCAGGGGTTTAGTGTTTAGAAGCCAAAGCTTAAATGTTACTAGGGTTTAGGGTTTGCTGCTGAGGGTCTCCCTTGTTGAGGGTAAGAAGTACACCAGAAGGTTGAAATGCAAGACAAACCCTTACAGCCATTTCGCCTTTTCCGGCTTAACTTTGAGCCCTAAAGTGCCACCCTTAAAACCTAAACCCCAAGTCCTAAACCCTAGACCCCAAAACTGTGGCTGCTACGCAGGGTTGGAAAACCCTCATCGGAAGCTCCACTGGCACAGATGGAATGCGGCCAGGGCCCTCTGTGCGGATGTCATGAAGCATCTTCACCATTTTAAGCCTGCCCGTACTTCCAGAATCCTAAGCGCTAAACACTAAACCCCAATCCTCAAACCCTACACCCTAAACCCTGAATCGTAACCGTGGGCTTCAGGAAAGACACTATGCTCAGAGGTTACATTAGGTCCTATTGGGAGTTGCAGTGCCGTAGTTGCTGCTGACGCCGCTGCTCGCCAACTGCAGCAGCTGAATCCGGGTGGTTTTGCTGCTGCTGCAGCTGCAGCAAAACCATCTGGCTGCTGCGGCTGTCGTTTCGAGGCACTTCTCACAGCATCTGCTGCTATGTCGTTGCTGTTGCTTGTACTGCTGTGCTGCTGCTGCGCTGCTGTGCTGCCGCTCTGCTGCTGCGGCTCTATACAGAAGCTGCAATTGGGGAGCTCGATGCCCTACTTGCCCTCGCCCGCTTGTCCGTGAGGCTTAGGCCCGAATCGCCAAACTCGCGTCTTTTTGTTGATTGTTCCTCATGTCTTTTTTACCTTTGGGGTTTAAGCATTAAGGGTTTGTGGTTTAGGGTTTGGCACTCGATGTTTGTGCGTGTGGAAACACAGGAAGATCCCTCCTGGAGTGCACCTGTGTTTGGGGGATCCCCTCTTGTCCAGCTTCGGCGGTGTCATTTAGGCGGCGGCTACGAAGAGGGTTTTATGCCATTTTCCTTTAGGCTGCAGCACAAACAGGTGTTGACATTAGAGCCTGGGCCCTAAACCCTAGCCTTAAACCCTAAACCCTAACACGCTGAAGTCCGCTTGCCTTGGGACCCTCATCATTGCGAAACGTTTCACTGAAGTAGACACCTAGCAGCGCTGCTGCAGCTGCGAGCGTCAAAATTCTGACTCCAAACCCTAAACCCTGAACTCTAAGGTCAACAAAGTGGGACTAAAACAGTTAATGCTACGCATATCCTGCTGCTGCCTCTCTTTTTTCACTGTTGCAGTCTGCCGTGATTTCAGGTGGGAATCCACGGAATCCACGCATACTGAGGTCTAATCCAGAAGTGGTCACTATGCCTCTAAACCCTAGACCCTGAGCGCTGAACTCTTAACAAGTAACTCTAAACCCTAAGCTCAACTGCTTGCATGTTTGGTGGCTGCTTCAGGGCCGAACGGCTGCGGGAAGTCAAGTAAGCGGCACACTGTGACAGCAGTAGCTCTGCTGCTGGCGCTAATGCTTTTGCGTCGAGCCTACTGCTGCTGCTGCCACTATTGCTGCTGCTGCTATATGTGCTGCAGCACTGTTGCGGGTCGTCGGAGTGGCTATACTCCTGGCCCACATTGGTTCAAGGGTCCCGGCGGCTTTCGCTGGCTTTGGACAGATCCACAGACTTCGCTGGAGCTCCTCCGGTGCGACTCTCAGTCCAAACCCTAAACCCTAATCCCTTAACTTTAAATGCTTTAGCCCGTCTCCCAAAAGCGTAGGCCTTCATTCTGAAGTTGAAGTCCCATGGTAAGACCTCACGCTGCACGACATTCTGTGGCGTGAACAGAAACACACGCTCCGGCAAAAGTACTTGTCCTGAAGTCTCCCTGATGCTCAGCGCTTACGCTTTAGGGCTTAGGGTTTAGGGTTTAGGGCATCGGTTCCACGGTTTGCGCACAGCGTGCGAAGGACTGGTGCCAGGCTTGTCGAGCTTCCAGTGCGAGCTCTTCCGCCTCAGCCAAATCCTGAGGTGACGCCGAATTGTTGCTGCTGCTGCTGCTGCGTTTGCTGTTTGATCGTCCCCTGCTGCTGCCTTATTATCGGCCTGCTGCTAAGGCGCTTTACTGGAAAATGCGTCTTTTGTTGCTGCTATCTGTTTCGTGAAGAAATTTCTCCCAGCTGTCAGAATCCCAACCTTTGAGCTTACACTCTTTAGCCCTAAACCCTAAACCCTAAACCCTAATCCCTAAGCCGTAATCGCTACAGCTCAAATGTTCGGATTTGTGAGTACCTACTGTGGCTCCAGAGATGGCTTAGGAGGCACCCTGCTGCTTATGGATGACTTTGTAAGTACAGGAGAGCCGCTGCAGCGAACTTGCTTTTGAAAGTGAACACAATTTTTGGGGTTTAGGGTTTTGCTTTTCTGCGGCTGTTTCAGGGTGCCGGCACAAGACATCGTGAGGCAGGGCTTTACAGCAACTCTGCAAACCTTAGGCGTTAAACGTTTTTAGTTAATCAGAGACTGCAGAAATAGAGAAGAGGGGTCGATGTTAAGGGTTTAGGGTTTAGGGTTTGAGACTTGAGAAGGAGAGTCTGGATCCGCAGCGGACGGCCAAGCACTTTTGTATGGGGCACTGAAATATATCCTCAATTCGAAGTGTCTTCAGGTGAAAAGTGCCAAACCATAAACCTCCAGTGCCTGGTCATAAATATGTAGCATGGCTACCAAACCCTACACTGCAAAGCACAGCTCCTGTGTGGCTTCTTAGGGCATCTGGACCATCAGCTCGGCCCATCCTGTGCTGGCGCAGCGCCTGGAAACTCTCAACTCTCAAACAGGACTCGTGCTGCTGCAGCACTTGGAGGCAACAACTGCAGGGGTGCCCGCGCAGCCCCCAGGGGCCCCTCCAAGAATTTGCCGTCTTGTGCCGCTCTTCACCCTCGGTCCCGGTGACATGCAAACCCCAAATGCTGGGCACTTAGTTTCTCGCCGACAGTTAGGCCGTCAGCTTAGAATTCAGGGTTTAGTGTTTAGGATTTACGGTTAAGAGTTTAAAGGCTGCTGTTTGTTTTTGCCGCAGGTCTCCGAGGAGACCACCACAGTCTCAGTTTCGTGAATGCAACTGCACTCCCAGAAAGTCAGGCTTCATCTTTTGGGTCTAATTTAATACAGGCCTTTGATAAGTTGGAACTGGCGACTTAGCGCTGTTTGTGTAGGGTTTGCGCTTCAAAGATCTCTCGAATACCTGATTTCTAAGTCCCGTGGTAAAGAGCTAGACCCCAACCCTTCCACAGTAAACCCAACCGTCCGCTTGTTTCTGCCCAGTTGTTTCCTGTGCAGGGGTTTGCGCGAGGGCTGCGGCGATTTTCTCTAGTATTTCAATGCAGCGTCACATTGATGAAGAAGATGCGCAGGTTTGCCTAGATATTGGGGTTTAGGATTTGGGGTTATGGTATGCAACGTAGGGTTATAGTGCAGGGCTTAGAGCACAGGCCTCTATCTTAAGAGACTAATCTTCCTAACTGCTTCTCATCTGAAACGGCAATTCAGTTGGACAAAGAGAAGCTCAACTGATGACGTGCTGATGCAAATACTGCTGTTTGTGATGTTTCTGTTGCTGCCGTAGTTGCTGCTGTTGTTGATGCTGCTGCTTCAGGGCTGTGTGTGGTCAAGGGATCCTCCCGCTTCTCAAAGTGTACAGCAGGAACGTCTGCTGTCTCTGTTGCAGCTGGCAGCAGCCGCAGACACAGCAGTAGCCCAACCCGAAGCAAACAGTCACCGTGTATTTAACCAAATAGCAACGGCCCTAAAAGGACTCGAGGGCCTTGGCAGACTGTCCCTGCACGCGCCGCCCTACACAGATGATGAATGAACCAGAGGAACAAACCTAAAACCCTTAATTTGAATGCTAGCTCCTAGGTAAACTCAGAACCCTAGAGCGTGGCAGACAAGCACTCAGCAGCTATCAAAGGCGCTGCGCCTACTGAGCCCTAACTTTTGTGCGCTTAAACAGCAAAACATTTGGGGGTCCGGGGACGTGGGTAGCGCCTGAGCCGAATTTGCGGCTATTACTAAAGGGCTTCAAGCTCATGGCTAGACTCCTGAAACCGGAACTGCGATAATTCCTACACAGCTGAGGTTTCACGGAGGATCGTTTTGTCCCCCCAAAGCGCTGGCGCAAGAATAGTTGCTTACTGGTCGCAACGCCCCCTACACGCGAGAGTGCCTAATAAAGGACAAGGCACACAGCCAACAAAGCAACATCGCCGAGCGGAAAATGAGAGCAGCGCCACCAAGCAACAGCAACACGCAGCAGCTCCGAGCAGCGCAACCACAGAACGACAGCAAGGAGCACCACCAAATAACAGCACCGAGCAGCACAACCAAGAAGCAGCAGCAGCAACAAAAAGCACCAACACACAGCAGCATCAAGTAACTGCAGCAAATATTTTGGCGAGTCTTTTTTTATGTTATTGCTACTGATGCGGCGTCTTGACCTGGCACTCCACATCTGCTGCTGCAGTCCAAATCCCAGCTTCATGGCATTCAGATGTCAGCAAGTTTCAACCAAGTTACTGCTTCCGCTTCTGCTGCTGTTGCTGCTGGTTGAAAAACTGCAGCGGCTCACTGCGATGCATATGGGTGTCTCTTCTGTCCAATTTCCGAATTTCTCTATGTTTTCCCCACACACAAGAAATGATGCAAAACGACCATCTTCTCTATAATAAAAATGCCAACCGAAATTTTCCCTTCGAATCACGGTGTAACAGCGGCAAGCAGCACTAAGTAGCAGCAGCTGTTAGCACCAGAAAGCAGCAGCAGCAACAGCAAAAAATAAAAGGAAGCAGCAAGCAATGGCGGCAACACACAGCAGAAGGCCACAACAGCAACGCGCAGCAGCAGGCAGCAGCAACAGTCAGCAGTAGCAAATAGCGGCACCGACCAGCAGCGAGCAGCAGGCAGCAGCAGCAGCAAATAGCGTGCAGCAGCACGTATCAGCAGCAAGCGGCAGAAGCAAGCAGCAGCAGTAAGCGACAGCACCAAGCAGCGGCAATACGGGACCGCAACAAACAACAGCAGCCGGAAGTAGCATGAAGCAACAGCAGCGAACAGCAGCAGCCAGCACCCCTACCACCCTGCAGAAGCAAGAGGCAGCAAACAGCAGCATCAGCAACTGGCAGCAAGTAGAAGCAGCACCACGTAGGAACAGCGCGCAGCAGCCGCAGCGTCACGCAACAGTAAGCAGGGGAAACAGCAGCCAGTAGCACCAACAACCAGCAACAAGCAGCATCAAGCAACAACAGCAAGCAGCAATGCCAGCAGAACCAGCCAGCACTAGCAAGGGACAACAGCAGGCAGCAGCTGCAAATAGCAGCAGCACGCAGCATGAAGCAGAAGCAAGAAGCAGCACCGAGCAGCAGCAGCAGGACGCAGCTACATGAAGGACCAACAACAAGCAGCGAAAGCAAGCAGCAATTACGAACAGCAGCAGCAAGTAGCAACAACAGGCTGAAGAAGTGAGATGCCCCTGGATGTTTGGTGGCCTCTGCACTTCCGAGACTGGAGAGGCAGTTCCTCCCTTTCTAAGTGTTACTCTCAGATGTTACTTCATCGCCGTCAGCAAATGCTGCAAGGGTGGGTGGAAAATCCCATGCAACGAAAACAATTGGAGGCAGCTGCTGCAGTAGTTGCTACGGATGCTGCAAGTGAAGGTGCTGCAGCGGCTGAATGTCGTGCTGCCGCTACTGACTCTTCAGCCGATGCTGCTTCTACAACCGTTTTCCTTTGTTAGCTCTGGTCTTCCAGAAGTGGCGGGCGGGGCCGCGCCGAGAGTGTTTTGTTGGAAAAATCTTGAGTGGTTTTTCACGACTGCGCAGAACGCAATTTCCACATCTTTAAGGAGCTTCTGCATATTTGAAAGCCAAATTGAAACTCAAAGAATGAAAAAACTACAAAATCCTCAACTAGCAGGCGGTGGACATACACTAGAGGGTGCGCACCGCCCCGCGGAGGCCCCGGGACTCTGTTCCTGTTTTTCGCCTTTTTCTAGGGTTTAGGTTGAGGGTTTAGGGTTTAGGATTAGGGTTTAGGGTTTAGGTTTACGGCCTGAGATTGAGGGTTCAAGGCTTCGCGTTTGGCTGCATCTTTGTTGTAGCTAAACAGGTTTACGGATTCGAACTCAAGGGTTTAGACTTTAGGGTTTATGCTGGCTGCATGCAGGATGACGCAGTAGACTTTGTTGAAGTCCTCACGGGCTTCGTGTCCATGGGGCTTGCTGCTCCCACTGCACAGCCTGTTATCTTGTTTTTGTCTGGAGTGCTGCTAATGGGAAATATCAAAATAGAACAAAAGCATTTGGACAGCTTGCCGGATGCAGCAGCAATTTAGGAAGAAGACCGAGCAGACTTCGAAATAAAAAGCGGGAAAAACCCGCACGAATTAGGGTTTAGGGTTTAGAGTTTGGCACGTGGTTTTCGGCGAAGGCTGCTCTTGAGATGTGCCGGTGCTACACGTAGATGAAAATCTACGGAATCAGTTTAACTTGAAATATAGAAAGACGCAAGAGGTGTTGAAAGGCCTTTAAATATCATCTGCATGCGCAGAAGCTTTTCTGTTGCTGCAGCAAGGCTGCTGGTGCTTGTCTAGCATATTCCTATGCCCCCAAATAGATGCAAAATGCCTTTGAATGAGTGCAAAGGTGCTCGCGGAGTTGAGTCATTTAATTTAATTTTACAAAAGTGAAGAAATCGTCTTTCGTCCTGCAGCAGCTTTCTAGGACTTTTGCAGCAGCTCTATAGGCAAACGAATGCATGCAATATTATTTGGCAGGGAAGAGTGTCTTTTCTGCTGCAGCAGGCATGCCAGCAGTCTTCTAGATTCATGTTAGCATTACATGCATGCAGATATGGAAAATTGCACATTTTAATTTGAATTTCCTCGTAGATTCATGCCAGCATTGTATGCATGCAGATATGGACAACTGCACATTTTAATTTGAATTTTATGCCAAAAGTGCGCCTTTTCTGCTGCAGCGAAAGTGCTGCCATTTATCTAGTGCAGTGTATTAATGTAACTACACGAATTCGCATTTTCACCTGATCCAATGGCGTCTTCGGCTGCAACAAGTCTGCAAATTAATAAATAAATGGATCTATATATAATATACATAAATAAATGAATAAATATAGATGATTAAGTATATATATCCAAGTTGTTCAACGACGGGTGGGAGGAGCAGCAGAAGCGGCAGCCTCTCTCAGCAGCAGCAGCGCCAGCAGCAGCAGCAGCAGCAGCAGCCGCTCGTCCCGCAACGTCTGTAAACTTGTCTTTGTTCGTTCGGTGGCAGCGGCTCGAGTTTTACAGACAGCCGCTAGAGTCTTCCCGCCGCCTGTTTCCTCTGCTGCAGCAACTGCAGCAAGCAGCAGATTGTTTGAAGGCAACTCTATCGGAGGCTTTGGGGCGGCTGGCTAAGAGCAGGCAGCACCTGCTGCCGCTGCTGCAGCACCTGCTGGAGCTGCGGGAGCAGCAGCAGCAGCTGTTCAAAAAGGAGGCCCTTTGCATCCAGGTGCTGCAGCGCCTTTCTGTCCCGCAGAAGGACTTAGAAACTATCATGCGCCCCGTGCCTCCGCTGCGGCAGCAGCTAGCAGCAGCAGCAGCCGCAGCAGCAGCAAGAGCAACTGCAGCACGAAGAACTGTCCAAGGAGCTGCAAGACACAAATTCGGCACTTTCGGAGGTGCAGCAGAAGCGACAGCTGCTGCTGCAGCTAAAGGCAGTGGCAGCAACAGGCGCAGCAGAAGCAGCAGCAAGAACGCCAACAGGCGCAGCAGCAACTGCAGCGGGGTTCCCCCTCATAAAGAGTCCGGTGCAACAGACGGGCGAGCTGGACGAAATAGGCCACGAAAGGCTACATCTTTTGCTGCTGCTCTGCCTGTAGCAGCTTGCACCAGCAGCAACAGGGGAAGCAGCAGCTGCCACAGCAGCAGCACCAACGAGAGACATAGATGCCGTTGGGGCTGCATTCCAAGCGCTCCTTGACATCTCAGGTCAGCAGCAATATTCGCCTCAGCAGCAGCAGCTGCTGCAAAAGAATTGGAAACACGGTTCTGAAGCAACAACAGCAGCAGCAACAGCGGCGGCAGCAGAAGCAACAGTAGCTGCAACAGCACAGTGCAGCGAGACAAGCAACCAGTATGCGGTCCTATGGGAAGCTTTAGCGGACCTTCACTCTCATCCCACTTATCTGCTGCAGTGTCCGCAGCAGCTGCTGCGTCTGCGGCGGCAGCTGCTGCAGCAACAACTGCAGCAGCAACTCCTTGCGGAGGGCCCCTGGGGGGAGCCCATGAGGTTTGCTGCAGGCAAGGAAGCGCCGAGGACCCTCACGGCGGCGCTGCGGTGGGTCCCGCGTGCAGCAGCAGCAGAAGCCGCTGTCTTTGTCTCCCTGCTGCAGCTGCTGTATACCCGTGGGGGAGCTGCTGCACTTGGAATCCAGAAGCAGCAGCAGCAGCAGCAACAGGAAAAGAGACACGGCTTCTCTGCCGACGCTTCAGACGTATGTGAAAGAAGCGACGAGGCTGCAGAGTCTCATTTTCCACTTGTAGACCAGCAGCAGCAACAGCAGCAAGAGCAGCAACAGCAACAGCAACTACAACCGCAACTGCAGCAGCAGCAGCAGGTGCGGGGTTGGCTGCCGCTTTCAGACGCAGCAACTCTCCCCACTGAGGCTGGCAGCAGCGCAGCCACGCTACAGGAGCTGCTGAACCCAGCAGCGTTGCTAGAAGGGTCCCTTGAGGCTCTTCACGGGCCCCTTCCTGCTCAGCTTGCTGCTGTTCTCGACAGTAGCATAAACAGCAGCAGCACCAGCACCAGCAGCTGCGGCATCACAGCGTTCAAGATAGGCTTGCTGCTAGAACAAGCAGCAGCGGCTATTGAGCAAGCAATCGCTGCTGCCGTTCAGAACTCTCCTCAAAAGCGTCTTGAGAGAGAGCAGCATCAGCAGCAGCAGCAGCAACAGCGGCAGCCGCTGCTGGTGCGTTTCTTGTTGGATCTTTCAACGAGGGTGCTGGACAGGCTCGAGACCCAGTGGGACTCCTCGGCGCTGCTGCTGCCGCAGCTATCCGCAGCAGCAGCAGCAGAATGGGCCCCCGCCGCTGAAGAGGGGGCTCCACCCCGCAGCAGTTTGCCTCCGTTTCTAACGGCTTTTGCCTCGCGCCTGCAAGACCTGCTGTTAGCGTACGCAGCTTCTCTTTCTTCTCTGCAGCAGCCTCAGCAGCAGTTCCAGCAGCAGCCCCAGCAGCAGCAGCAGCAGCAGCCGACGCGCGCTGTGAGTCGCCTGGAGACGCTGGTAGGCCGCGACGTGTCCCGCTGCCTCAACTAGTGTCTGCAAATGGCTCACTTCATGGGCAAGGCCTCGAGCTGCGTCTTTCTTATAAATTCGTTTTCATGCTTGAGGGCCTCGCTGCAGCTGCAGAGTTTGGCGTTCATGTGGGACGCCAGCCTGCAGGAGCAGCAGCAGCAGCTGCTGCAGGAGCAGCAGCAGCTGCAACAGCAGGTCTTGGTGCTGCAGGAGGCCGTGTCAATGCCGGTGCATCGGCAGCAGCGCCAACTGCTGACGCAGCTAATAGAAGAGCAGACAGAAGAGTTAGGTAACCTGTTAGGTTTGGGGCTCTACGGCAGCAGCAGCTTGAGTCGCTGCATGCAGGAGGCACCTCCTGCAGCCGCTGCAGCCACTTCTGCTGCTGCCGCTGCTGCTGCTGCCGGCCCCACCCTCAGGACTGGAGATGCATGCACGCAGTTCATTGCTGCAGTTCTAGGCTCTTCAAAAGCCCTCGACATGCCCCTCCTTGCTGCTATAAACGAGGGGGCGGCCCGCCGCCGCACCCGGGCCATTGCCTTGGGGCTGCTGCTGGCGAAGTACACAGAGCTCTACAGCAAAGCTGCTGCAGAATGCACACAGCCCCCTCCACACTCGCCTCAGGAGCTCAAACTCATATTCGACCTATAAGCACCCCAGGGCCCCCTAAAGACAAACAGCGGGTTCCTGGGGGACCCTGCTTGGGGGGCTCCAAAGCCCAAAGCCACGCACCTGGTTGGGAGGTGACTCGGGTGGGCCCCCTTAGGACTCTAGTTCATCCGGGGGCCGCGTTGGGAATATAAAAACCCTAGATCCCAGCCTCGCTTTAATGGCTGCAAAAGTGGCCGCGCAAAGAAACTCTTAAAACCTTTTCCCGGCTGGCCAAAGACCTAATTTAGTCCTTGTGCCTTTTTGTGGATGGCGGCGGGCCGAGAAATGACTGCGGTGTCTTCTCTGTTTCTTGTGTCTGTACACCTCACGTCCCACTGGCCCTGTGCGTCTTTGGCCTTTCTGCCTGTGTTGAGGTTTCTGGATCTTCTCGGCGAGCACAAAAGCCTTTTGTGTCACTGAGTCAAGCCCATGAGGCTGAAGAGCACACAGACGCAGGCTCTGTCTGCGTCTGAGTGCTCCCCGGTTTCGGGCACCAGGTAAAAAAAACAGTGAGGAAGAATGTAGGATTTGGCCGAGTCCGAGGGTTGAGGGTTTTGCGTTTAGAGCTTTATTGTAGGGTATAGCGCGTTGTAGAATTCGGTGTTCAAGTCCTAGTCACAAAGTTTAGGGTTTAGTGCTGTGCTAGTGTTTTAGGCGACTGCCCGCCTTCCTTGCCGGCCCAGCGACAGCTGCGCCGCGACTCACTTGGGCCCTCAAGACGGGCTTTGCTGCTGATGCAAGCCTCTGCTGCTGCTTCCCGCCGCTGTTTTGGGCCCCTTCTCTGGCTTGGGAAGCAGCAGCAGCAGCAGCGCCCCCAACAATAGTTCCCATGAGTGTCACGGCCTTCACGGCCTGGGTCTGAACGAAGCTGAGGGTGGTGGGGTCGGTGGTTCTGAGATCGTGCGGGAAATGAGTAGGCCACCGACGGCCTGAAGAACTCCAAAGCGCCTCACCTCTTCGCAGCGGAGTCCCAGCAGCAGCAGCAATGGCAGCAGCAGCAGCAGCAGAAGCATTTGCTGTAGTCACAGCACAGCAGCAGCAACTGCAGCAGCAACGACTGGCGGAAGACACGGCAAAGCTGTGATATGTGAGTATGCAGCAGCAGGGCCCTGCGGCCCCTTGCGACTGCGTTGGATGTCATTGAAACCATCAGCTACTGCTGCAGATGCAGCAAAAAAAAAAAAAAAAAAAAAAAAAA